AAAAGTCAGAACCCCAGTGAAAAATCTATTAAACAAACAGTTTCATTTGAAAGTATCTCATTTGAAAGTATCTCTAATGCAACATCTATAATATAGCCTCCACTTATGATAAAAATGTTTCCACCTAAGATTGAATAGAAGGTGTTAAAATGTGTTATACCAAATAATGTTTCTAATGTATTTGTTAAAAATAGTTATAACCATATGTCATACAAATTTTGTATGTTATAACCAAAATAGTTAAACAAATTTTGTAGCACGCAATCTTATGTTGCGTAGAACTGAAAATCAAGTATAACCAAAAACACAAAAAAATGGAATTTCAAAATATAAGTTATAGCATTTTTTATATTTTTTGCAATTTTAGCAGAAGATATAGAAGATACTATATTATTCACACCATTATAGTATTTTCATGTATTAGAGATGCTCTGAGGATGGACATTAAAATTGTGCAAAATTATATAATCGATTGTATAAGCGAAATCAAGACAAACCAAACAAAACAAAGCTCTTATTCCCTTCAAGTAACGAATTGTGCAAAATTCTCAGATATATGAAAACCACAATATAGCAGACTTTTTCATATCCGATCATACGAAGTTACAAACCCACTATCTGAATGTTATGATTCTCTGTTAGATGTTATACTGGCAGCAGGATAACCATGTAAATAACGCCTTCTCTCAAAACACTTTAAACATGGTCTCATGACCTCTGAAGCAGTCAATGCAGTAGTCAACACTTGAGCATGGCCTAGAAAGCAATCAGTGAAGGAAGCAATCGGAAAAGGACACAACAGTATGGTATGCGACAGATGCACATGTAGGAAGAATTCAAGTGAATAACTTCCATGTCCTTTGTTTCTTTGCTCCACATTTCTCTGGTAAATACGACGAGAAGGGGAAGCAACAGCCAACAGTACAGTTATCAAGCACACTGATACATTCAAAGTAACACCACATTGCTGCTACTGCTCATCTTGTACTTTGAGCGGCAGCAATTCATTTTCTTGCGGTTGGCTTCTAAGCCTTAAAGCAGCTGGTAACCATCTACTTAACCTTTCAGGACACCACCTGTTCAGAATGCACCGAAGTTCAAAGATATTACAAAAATTGTTTCACAAACATATAAGGGGATCATAAATAGTGGCATATGATTGTGTGGCTTACATAATGGACAGAAAACAAGAATACTTTGCACTCTGGTTGGTTCTACTTCTATGCCAACCAGAAAATAATTTTCTTTTTTCAAAATTTCAAGTATATACCTAATTTCTCATTGCACTATATGTAAGGACCAATTGAAATGGATTATTTAAATTGACTCACAGGTCAAGTCTTTCTTGAATTGCACGTCGCACCGAAGAGTTGAGGCCATAAGCAATTGAATTGAAAAGACCCTACATCAACATCAAACGAGTTAGAATAACTGGAAAAACCACAGATTTACTAGCTTATCATAATTTGGTAACATAGACTGTAATCAAAGTATTCAGAATGAGAACCAAACTGTAGATGTAGCTGCATTAATTTTAAAAAGTATCTTGTTCACAATGCAAAACAACATATATTTATTAATAAATAAGGTACTTAGGTAGTTGGATTACATTACAATGCAACGGCTATGGGTAATAATAATTTAAAAAAAAATAAATACAGTGGACCGGGTAGTTAAGGCGAATAAGTTTGGTGAACTGTATATATTATTATCTGATGTATCCAAAATGACTAAATGAGAACTAGCCAAGGATTATGGTATTGGCTAGTGTCTGGGACATACCAAAGTCTGACACACCTGTAACAAGACCTAGGTAAAGAAGTAATCATTCAGTCTAGAGCATTTTGTCGACCATCTTCTCAGAATTTTCAAATATTCTAATTCAGGGAGAATATCTCAGATGGAAAGGATACTGACAAAGTAATCCAATAGAAGCAATATTTGGCCTGAGAAATTGTTATCAAATGACAAGGTATTAATTTTCATGGATGTTGCCTTGTATACAACAGAGCCAAGGAATAATTTTACCCTTAAAACTATATACAGGCACTTGTGTCAAATTGAAGTTCGAGCTAGAAAATTGTAAGAGTAGACAAGTAGTTGAGGTTGTCATAAATATTTTATACCATGAGTGAAGCCATTCCAACATCCAGAAAGGAGAGCCAAAAGATTTTGCGTCCTGGTTCGATAAAGTCATGTATACGATTGATTGTGCCAAATGCCCATGATCCTATAAGGATCAATGGGTAGTATCCCCATCTGTTTAGAGCCTAAGAAAAGAAAGATAAGATCAGCATGAACAGCACACTGAAATGAAATTCAACCAGAAGAAATTAAAAGCACAGAGATGAAATCTGAGCAGAAAAGAGCACCATCAAAGGCAAATTTGTAAGGAAAGGAAAAACACTGATACATTAAGGTCGGAAATAGGCAAGGGGCAAAAATAAGTGAATTCGTGAATGACCATATCCCACCACAAGAGGAGAATTTAGCAATAAAAAAAAACTAGTGATTTTAAAATAGAGTAATATGTGACATAATACCTTCATGTCTGCTCTTGCATCAGACAGATGTGAGCGGTCTGACATGCCCACCGCCATCTGAAAGTAATCAAAGCATTAAGCTAATTGTGTATCGAATAGGTTTAGAAATGTATAAGGACATTCTAGCTTAAGAGAAAACTTTATACATACACGGGTTGCATTATTGATCATACGTATCACTTGGAAGTATGTCAATCCATTAAAAAGAATTGCGCCCCAGAGTGGAGCATAAAATGTTATGAAGTGAACCACCTGCAGCAACATATACAGACACATGTGAATAAAAATTAACACAAATTTTATGGATGATCCAATAAACAGTGACCTCCAAAGAAAACTTGGATCAAGGTGTAAACAAAAACAATGGTCAAATGACCATGGCAAGATAAATTCACACTAGATTGGCGTTTCCCTAATTGGTTCAGCGCCAATAATGGCTGGAATAAGGTTTTAGAGAAAAAAAAACAATTCTACAAAAATCATTGCTAGCCTTTACAAAACTCTGTACATGCCTTTCCCGTGCGTCCTGTTTCTGACCAGCACCACACACCTAAGCGCCCTGGATCATTGCCTATTGATCGTATGACAGTTACAAATAGTGATGTTCCTGCATAAATTTATTAAGAGTGAGATAAACTTTGTTACATAACCACATCAGCACCTGTAGTCCGATTTTGTGGACATACATTAAAATCTGTCCACGGGACAACATCTTTTTATTGGTCCACGTAGGTTAATAATCCAATAAACAGTTAGAATAATTATCCAATAAATAGTTAATAAACAGTTACTACATACGTGGACCAATAAAAGATTGTTGTCTCGTGGACAGATTTTAAGTGTATGTCCACAAAATCGGTTTGTCAGCACCTGTATTAGGTTCTGCCCTTTATACTGTATGCTAAGAGTTACAAGTGAATATATAAAAGAAAACTGGTTCAAACTTCAAAGTACAGGTGAAACTTCAGGATTGAACAAGGAACCCATTCAATCACTCGTATAATCATATGGTAATGAAAATATAGCTTCTATTTAAAGATTGGTGTCATCAAGAAAATAGAAATAACAAGTCAAAACACCTTAGACAAATTCTTGAGTCTTGACTAACTTCACACTGCATGTGAGTGATGTGACCCAAACTAATCAACAGACATCAAATTAATCTTTGCATTAAGATGCAAGCCCATTTGGTAAATGTAATAGGCTAACAAGTAAAAAGTCCATACCCCAAACATACAAGTGAAACATTGGCTCCAAATCTTCAACATCTGTTTTATGTCTAACAACAGTACGATGAAGTGTGAATGCAATTGTTGTAGTCCAAAGGAAAGAAGCAACACAAAAGAAATGTGTGCTATATCCTTGAGCATAGCAAAAGAATCCCTGTGATGGATCCCTGCAACAGCAAATAAAAATTAACCTATCTTAAACGCATCAAGGTTAAAAAAAGACATGTTCTGAAAGTTACACCAAAGAGACCGCCATTCTTCATTCCTTTTCACTATGGTGAAAACACTCATAGGGAAAGTGGTTCATAAGAGTGCCACAGTGCCACTTATCAAAATATTTACAGGAAAAATGGCACTACCACATTGATGTTCAAAACTGAAAAATGAGAAACGAATCCAAGATGCATACCCTATTATGTTGAAGAAACTACAAAGCATATCCTGCACAAGAAGCACATTTATCAAAAGAAGAAAAATCGGGGAATAAAAGATAACAACGATTTCAAGATATATTAGGATACTAAAAGCATTTCATGTAAACATCAAAAAAGTTCGTGTTTTTCCTTTTTGAACAGAAAATCGACAAAGAGACTGTGGACTGCCTACTAAAATGAAAATGTCAAAGATGGTTTGTCTTTAGGGTATTTGTGTTTGCAAAAAAACACGTCAGTATACTATTTATGTTTCAAGAAATAAAAACCTTATAGAAAACATTAAACAGAAGCTACACACATTGTATGAACAAATTACAGCACAAAAAAAGATGGTGTTGCAAATGTACAAAAATTTTCCTCTCAGAGGGAGTATACCCGATTAAAATTTAAAATAAAAAAGTGAATTTAATCATTTTAAAGCAAACAGCACCAAAGTTTCCTCATCCATTCTTATCAGAAAAATGGATATTACTGTTACTTCTTGAGATTTCCTGAAAGGGTTCCCTAAAAACACTTATTAATGCTCTAACTCAGTGTCATATGAAGTTTTGTCCACCAGTTTATCATCATGAAATAACCACTAGACTTCA